AGGAGGCGAAGGGCTCGGAAGCTGTTAGAGGGCGAAGCGGCGCTTGGAAGCTGTTGGGGGAGGAGGCCAAGCGCTCGGAAGCTGTTGGAGGGCGAGGTGTTGCGCTTGGAAGCTGTTAGGGGAGGAGGCGGAAAGGCTGGGAAGCTGTTTGAGGGCGAGGCGAGGGGCTGGGAAGCTGTTTGAAGCTGTTTGGGGAGGAGGCGCTGCGCTCGGAAGCTGTTCGAGGCCGAGGCGCTCGGAAGCTGTTTGGAAGCGAGGCGTTGCGCTGAGTGAGCATAACGAGAAAGTCCAAAATCTTCGAGTTCCGATTGCTATCCGCAAAATTTTCGGGTCAAAGGCTGATGATCGTTAAGTCTCAGGCCCCTGAGCCCTGTCGATTCTTCGTTTTCGGTCCGAAGCCGTACGCCAAACACCCTTTCGTTTTTGAATCAGGTCCCTCGTGGAAGATCTACAGTCGAGCGAAGGGACACCCGCACAAGAGAGAGGAAAGGACGGCTCGCAGACTGCTGCAAACGTGTCAACAAATTGGCTCCCCAAGACACATATTTTTTGCCGCTGCCCTCCAAACGCTACTGAGCTTTCTAGCTGCAGCATCAAAGTTCTATGCCTCTTGCACATACAGCAGACCTTGCCAGCAAAGGCAGTGGCACCTCCAATCCAGCAGGCGCCCAGTGGCCAGACGAAGGGGGTCTCATCTTCGTCTTGGAAGCCTTCGAAGGTTTCAAAACCTTCGAAGGCGAAGAGTCGAAGGAAGCTTCGAAGCTCCTTCGCGCTGAAGGGACGAAGCTCTTCGAGCCAAGCGAAGGAGACTTTTCAACCCCCTTTTGCGTTCGTGTGGCTTTTCTTTGTGTGTGTGCAAAATGCTGTTTTGTTTTGAAAGGCGTTCTGTTTGTATTTTTTTACTTGATCACTTTAGCTCTCTGATTTCGTGTGGCTTTCTCCTTGTGACGGCTTCGAAATTCCAAAAGTGTTTTTCTTGTGTTTGATTTTATTTTTCAAGTTTTTTTGCTTTTTCATTTTTGTGGTTGTTTCTTTTTGTATGCGGAGTGGTTTTTGCCTCGAACGTTAGGGATTTACACATTTTTTTTCGCAACCTTCACGTTTTCATTTTGTGTGCGGACAAGTTTTTGCTTGTAAAGACGTTAAGTTTTTTCTTCAGTTTTCTCCGTTTGTGAGCCACTAAGAGCGTTTCCGTGTGGCTTTCCTCTTTATGTGCATCTTCGCCCTTTCATCCTCCTTTAAAGCCTTCGAAGCCCCATTCGTCCTCACTTTCGAAGCCTTCGAAGCCTTGTCCCCTTCAAAGGCTTCAAGGCTTTCTGAAGGGTCCTCAGATGCAGCCCTCATTTTCTTGAAGGGCCCAGAGCACATTTGCTTCCTGTTGGAAAGCTGGTAATTTAATCACAAAGAAGGTGGACGCACACCACAGGCAGGCTGCAGGCAGAATTTTGAAAGTTCCTTGACGTGTTCCAAGCCTGCAACCGCGACGTGAATCAGTTGTGTGAATTTATGTCGGTCAACATGAACCTTCCAAACCAGTTTTCAATTGTTTTGCATTTTCAGAATCAGGCTGGAGGCCCAAAAGAAGGACGCTGTCGCAGATGTTGCAAAACGACAGGCGTCTTTGCCTACCCGCAACTGGCTCCAACTACCATCTTGGCCAACGCCAATGCCGGTGAGATGGCAGCCAACTCTGCACTTTGTGGTTGTTAAAACCAGAAACGAGCTTGCGTAGAAGAATTAGCATTGGTTGCTCCATGCTCGTGGCTCAAGGTTCCACAAAGTACGATCTACAACTGCGCCAGTAGTTCCTGCATGCTTTACGAGGGGATGCACGCCCAGGTTACATCTCGGGGAGGGAACCGGCCTCATATGCACGATTTGATGAGCCTCTTCTTTCGCCCAATGTTCGCATGATTTCAGTCTTCCTGCGCCAGAATTTTTCCGAGAATTTTTGATGATAATGGGACGGTGGTTGCTTTCTCTTGCTTTTTTGCTTGTAATTTGGTTGCAGCTTTCGCTATCATTGAGGCCGAGTCTCGCCAAAAACAGAAGTTTCCAACTGTTATTCTAGACTTGTCACTGCAAGATTTGATTTGGTTATCAATGATATCTTGGTTGCACTTGAGCAAGCTAACAGATAAGTTCGTTGCTGGAAGTCTGTTGCAAACATGGCGCAAAAAGTCAAGCAATGGATCTCTCATTTTGGCTTGCGGAAAGGCAGGTGAGAATTATTTGCCTTAGAAACAGGAGATGGCATGCTCCAGTGAATGTAAATCTGGAGCGGAAGAATGCTTGAGCCGGCAGGCGTTTTCATCCACAAATGTCTGCAGCAACATGGCTCCGGACATTTTCGGGGGGAAACCGCCGTTGCGGTTGGTCCGCCTAGCCTTTCTCCATCTGGCGAGGCGTTCGCATGTTGCAAGTGGAATAAGTTGCGCATTGCCATGCTGCAGGTACTGCGATGGCCAATATTCTCAAACTTGTCGCGAAGGCTGGTTCAACTGTGCATGCGATATTGTCGAAGCCGGAGCAATGGCAGAATGACAAACGTTTGACAGGGCGACATACGTGGTCTAGAACATGCTGTCCAAGCAGGTGCTGAGGCAGGATGGCCTTCGTTCACACATGCGGGGCAACTCAAACCTTGTTGTGCATGGAGGTGAATTTCTCGAACGATTCGACAAGTCCCCTGATAGCCGCTGTTCAGGTTGACGACGGATGTGTTGGCCATGTGAGTGTCGTTCATAGGCTGTTGGAGCGCACTGCTGTACCCAGACAGAGGCCCAAAGTGCGGACATGGTGGAGCTTCTGCTGCGATCACGCGCAGGCACAAGCCCTGAGATAGTCAGCGTTTTCGTCATGTAGTTTGTACTCCGGCCCAGATGCGAACTTCTCAACCCTCGGCGCTGTGCTTAGTATATCTCCAGAGTTGTGCGGGTGCATGACGCCGATTTTTTCGTAACGGGCGCGGCGGGTCTGTTGCACTGCAGCATGCAGCGCTTTGTTGAAAGACAGGCTCATGTTGACAGTTGAGAAAAAAGTCCCAGGCATGCTGAAACAGAACAGATGTGCAAACAAATACCACGCTCTGTGAAATCCAAAGGATCCCGCAGAGCCAGGATGTGACGAGCGGTTGACAAGAAAGTGACCGCAATATCTAAGAGCAAGCCTTTTTGTCCATTTGTGGTCGAAACTTCGGCCAAAATTCCAAAACGGTGGCGGGTGATTGTGGCTGGCGGTTGAGGTACTTGGCGAATACGATGAGACATGCCTTGCAGGGATCCGGTTCTCCTGGAATGCAGCCAATTTGACTACTGGCAAAAAAGCAAGTCGAAGAGAGCAACCACAAGCAGCGATGGCTGCTTCAATGGCAACATCGTGGAAGCTACACGACTGTCCTGTCTGTTTGGGTCGGGTGTCTAGTGGTAGTTTCATCACGGAAGCTTGCATGGTTGTTCCGCCTGTTTGAGGGGATGGAAACTGAACAGCGGAACGAAGTGGAACGTTCTGAATGAAGCAGCCCAGGCTCGCAAGTGGCACCACTGCACATGGCGGCCTTGCCGGCGCAAGATTCGGCTTGTGGCTAGTGCGGCAAACTCGGCAGTTGGCGGCAGATGCCACGACAGGCCTTTGACGGCTCGGTTGAGATGATGAACCTTGGCTGACGGTTGGCTGTGTTCTGAATAGTGCAGACATGTGTGTTCTTTTATTTGCCTTCCTAGTGTTCTTTGATGCTGCATTCATGAGCTGAGGAAGCTTTTGCTCAACAGGGGAGCTGATGTGAATGCACGGAGCTCTGCAAAGCAATGTGTGGCCGCTGATGCTGTGTTCCGTGGAGAGAGATTTTGCAAGGGAAGATCTTAGTTGAGGTTCGTGATCGCCACGGTCAAACTCCGCTTTTCTTTGCGCCTTCGCCGGAAACTTGCGTCGAGCCTTTGGCTCAGACCGAGACCTGTCAGGTCTACTGCATTCGGAAGTGGTCCACCAGTCAAGTTTTTGCAATTTGGAATTGAAGGTTTGCATGAACATATTGCAGCACGTGGTTACTGTTAGACGGCATGGCCATCGCCCTCAAAGTATGCAGTGAACAGATCGTGGCAAGTGCCGTGTGTGCGATGGTGCAGTCAAAACTCGAAATCCATTTGATTCATTTGATGTTCTGACACGAGTTTTGTGTGCCCAAATACCCCTTCTCTCTGCATCCCCGTGCATGTTGATCGCGATGGCAACTGGGCTGCGTGCAGTTTGGGAATGTTGCCAGAATGGTGCTACCCCGAGCCGTTGCAAAGCCTTTCCTCGCCTTTACCAAGACATTGCAGCAGCTGCAACCAGCAGATCTTGAAGGCAAGTGGACTTAGTAAACGCAGCAGATTTGTAGCTTGGCCCTACCAGTCTTGGGTTCACCGCTCGCTCCGATCAGAATGGATGAAGGGCTCTTGCGTGGAGGAGGTGTTGCAGGAGTACAGTATTGCAGATATGGTGAAGGTTTGACGGGATACGTTTTTACTCGAGCTGTCACTCACCTGCCTGACGGCACAAGAGCGAAGGAATCTGCAGACTTTACGTGGAAGTGAAAGTGCCAGACGTCTGCTGCACTGTGGGGCTCCCGCGATCACGAAGTTACACAACGAAAGTCAAAGAACATGCAACAAACTGCAGAACAGGAGCAGCCAGCCACTTAAATCTCTCCAGACGCACAGGATTCGACAAGCTTAAAGGCAGCTGCCTGGCACATCTTGCGAGATTCGCCTGCCGGCCTGGGCTTAGCCCAGGCCAGTAGTAGTAACGTAGATTAACGTAGTACCAGCAGTGTCAAGCACTACGCCACGGCTTGGCCCCACATGGGCCATTAATGTTCCCGGAGCAGGAATACTGCGCCCACAGACGTGGATCCAATCATTCGTGGGATGGCACGATTTGAACGTGCGACAGTCGCATGTTGAAGATCATGCACTTGAAGAATGTTTCCAAGAATGAGAGAGGCGAATCTGGTGACAAGCTATGCCCACTCGTGTCGCACACAACTCTTTCTCAGGCCCATGCCCAAACTGACAGAGCGGTGGCGCTGCAACTCTTTGATCCGCACTCGCCGTTCATCGCTGAGCTCCGACGTCCGCTTGCGCGCCGATGGACTGCCGCCTGCCATCGCGGCGCTTGCCGCCTTGCTGGAGCTCCCGCTGCGGCCCTGCGACGCCAGCCACGGGAGCTCCGGGCGGCGCCGCCGTAGCGGAAACTAGACTAACTAGAGTTTAGGTTCACTCTCACAACTTTGATGTGGACTCGGAGGGCGGGGGCGGGGTGTGATGGTAAAATAAGGGCAGGTGGGAGTGTGTTTTCCTTGGACAGCGGTTGAGAACTTGTCCGTGTTGTGTGCAAACCCGGCGCCCGAGCCGGCACGAGATCACGACACCACCTTGTACCAATACTATCAGGCTGTGACACCCCGTCCGCCCCTGCATCATCCTTCTGTGTTGCTGTGCAAGGTTGTCCTTGGCAGACTCCGCCAATGCTGCGTCTGATGCTGCACCCATGCACTCGCTGCAATCCGGGCGCTGGACGCCCGTGACGCCCGAATCAGACACAAATTTCGGCACCCCAAGCGTTGTGATGACCTCAATGGTGAAGGTGCCATGGGAGTTACCAAGCTTCGCAAGCGTGGTGCATGAGCTCAAGCGCTGCCTGCTGTTGAGACTGCAGGACGACAACCCGCGCGGAGATCAGCACACGCAAACATGCCGCAGCTTGCTCAACCGTTGGTGCTGTTGGTCGTTGTTGGAAGCCAGGTATGCAGCGCATGCACGAGCGTGAAGGGTGTGCTACAACAACGGTGTGCACATGCCAAGATTCAAGCTCGTCGGGGGTAAACCGATCAAAGCAGCGTGCCGCAAAGGCACAAACAATCACTTACATGTGCGTCCAGGCTGGCTTGACCGGTGCTGGCACGCCTTGAGCCAACGGATGGTGCTCATCGATGGCGGGGTTACAATACACAACCCCATTCGGGCGTCATGAAGAGGAAGATAAAATTTATCATATGTACAGCCGCGGGATCGACAGCACAAGGACGATGGCCAGTGACGCTATCCGTAGAGCCAGCTGGCTAACAAAGGCCCTAACGAGAGTGGCAAAACTACGGCAGGGGTTTCAGTGGGCGCAGTTTAGTTGTAGTCCCATATGGGAGCCTGAGCCTGAGCTTTATTCATGTCGTCAGCGTGGTGGTACCTTGGCACTGCCACCCGAATCTCCTGCAGAGGCCATTGGCCATTAGACGGGACTGCTGGCCTGCACCCTGAGAGGGGCGAGAGCTGGCATCTCGAGAAAATGAGGTTATGGGTGCCCTATTCACTCCACCACATGTGCTTTGTCATCATACTGAAACCAGGCGGGAGTGATAGTGGCAGGGGCCACCGTACGAGCAGGAGCATCAAAGGCAATGAGCCTCCTAATACTCTTCCAGTCCTTCCTTAAGATGGAAAATGATGGAAGCAGGGTCGACCTGCCCCAAAAAGGCAAGCTTATGCAACCGCTTGGGTCGCGCGATGGTCTGGCCTCCCCGCAGTCGCCGCACAGCGAGCATTCGCCGCCTGTTGCCCCACGCCGCCGACCTTGGCGACGGGCGGGAGCCAGAGCTACATGAGCTCCTCGCAGAAGCGCGCTGACGGCTCCCCCACCTGCTGATGGCGCTTGTTTCTGCCAGTAAGGGTAGCGTGTAGCTTGCACTGGGACTTCCAGTACATTCGCAGTCATAAAAAGGTGCGGAAAAAATAAAAAAAACTGCGACGACAAACAGATTCATGCCGGCGGTTTGGATGGTGGAAGCGGGTTTGACAGCAAACTTCATGCGTGATATCCTCCGCCTCCGAGAGCAACGAGCGCCGTGTGTTGTTGTGAAGCACAGCATGTGCGCATGAACAACCGCAAACGGCATAGCTGCCTAAGCACTCTGGCTCGACGCACGACGCCTTCAGCTTTTCAGATAGCATCCTCCTGTGCCTCGACGGTCATGGCTGACTCGACGGCTGTCGCCTTGCAGCTCGTGGCGGCGATGACTGCTGTTCGACGCCCCGGCATTGTGCCGGTCGTTGGCCTGTTGACGGCGGACCAGGTGGCGGACCTCAATGACATCACGACGGTCGCCAACCAGGTCCTGGAGGGTGCGGCGGAGGCAGCGGCGTCAGCAGAGGTGGTGCAGAACTTTGCCGCGATGGTGGCTGGAGGCGTCGGCGGTGGATCGACGATGCCATCTGGGGCCCAAACGCCAGCATCGACGGTGGGGGTGGCCCCTCCTGATTTGGCCATCAGCTCGACGCCCACGACGCCGAGGAAGGCACCCCCACCAGTGCCCAAGGAGGCGGAGGCGGCGATCCCTGCACGGCGTCCTGTGATGAAGGCGCCCCCCCCAGGTTCCCGCCACGACTTGGCGAGTGACGCCCTTGGATCAATTGCCGCGGAAGGCGGCGCCTACATCGACGACTACCTCGGGGACTTCGACGCCAGCGCAGGTGCAGGTTAAGGCTATGCCTCAACGACGTCTTCCCACATCGCCTCGAGCGACAGCGGCGTCTTCGACGCCTGCAGCACCGATGGCACCTATGCCCTCCGCTCCCCCGACGCCAGCTCAGAACACAGGGGGCGAGACGCCGGCGGACTACTTTGCTACTCCTGCAGCCAATTAAGGCTCGTGCGGCGGCTCGGCTTGCAGCTGGGGCGGACCCGTTCGACGCCACACTTTCCATGAGCGCCTCGGCGTCCGGGCTGGCCACCCCGGCGCAGTCTACAGCGGGACGGCGCCCACCCAACATGCAGGAGATCCGGGCGGCGCTCAATGTCCAGACCGAGGCGATGGCAGCGGCGGCTCCTTCGACGGCTTCCACAAGACCGACGTCACCTAAGGCACAGGGGAAGGCACCGCCTGAGGCGCTTATGCCCCCCACGACGCTGATGGCACCCGAGCCCGCCGGCGGCAGACCACCAGCACATTGACCCGGACCTTGGGATCCCGGCGGTCACGACGGTGGTTGCCGACACCTTCCTGGACACGCCTTTGGAGCCGACGGCGTCGGCGCAGGAGTTCTTGGGCCCGGCGCCGCCACCGCGTACAAGGTGTCCATGGAACGACGGGGGGCCTCGGCGCTCGGCGAAGTCGTTCCCAGTTCTCTCCGCCATTTGGCCTGCGACGACCTTGCGGCGGTCCGCCAAAAGGAGCAGGCGGGGCAGTGGCCCGAGACGGCGCCGAGGGGGGCACAGACCGAGACCGACTACTACTTCATTGGCGGTTGCCCCAAGGAGTTGCCGGCGCTCGGATTACAGTGCAGCACTCCAAAGAACAGCGGCGCTTGGTGGGATGGTGCGCCCACCCATGCCAGCAGCCCCGCGGCGCCGACAACCATTGCGACGGGGAAGGCAGGTGCCTCAGGCCCATCATGATCGGCGCCTACGGCGCGCATGGGAAAAGGGGGCACCGCTGCGCCCTGTGTGAGGGCCTGGTCGGCGGAGGTCGGCGCTAAGCCTCGCACCTCCCGACGAAGCGGAGAGGCCTCCTTTTTGGCATTTTGCCACGACGGCCCCGCTTCCTGAGATCCCTGGGTGCTCGACGGTTTGTCGACGCCTCGCACATGTCACGGCGCTAGGCGACCTCAGTCTGCCAGGCAGTTATCTCGACGCTCTTCGGCGCCAGAAAAGAAGGGAGAGATCGATGCTGAGTGCTTTGCCCTGTCCGGTTGTGCTCTCTCCGACGTGTTGCCCTAACCCCCCTCCCCGGCAGCCGTTTTGCTCGAGACGACGACGCGACCACTGCAGACATGGCTCAAGACGCGTCGGCGCCACAGCCGGGCACCTTCGCAGCCTTCCTGGCCGAGGTCGCCGCGGCCGGCGGCCAGGCGCACATGCAGGCCTTCGCCGAGCTCGGCGTTACATCCAGAGATCTCGTGCGACCGGCCGGCCCGGCATTGGCGGCGGCGGGGGTCCCGGAGCAGGTCATCTTGAACTTGGTGCGACCGGCAGCGCCTGGACCGGTGTCGTCGGCGATGGTACCCCGAACCGCAGGCCTGTGGCGAGGGCTTCCCTTCAGGCGTCCCGCCAGGCGGCGGCCCCGCAGAACATTCAGCAGGCGGTCGACGCGCTCGAGGCCAATGTGGTGGCGGCGTCCACCAGGCGAGCCCTGGACTCGAGGATCAAGTTCTGGCTCAAGCTCGCGGCGACCAACGGCGTCGAGCCGTGGCCGCTGACGCACTGGAAGCTCAAGGTGTTGGCGGCGTGGCTCCGGGAAGGGGGCTACCGCTCCGCTCAGCTCTACATCGACGCGGTGATGCGGCACCAGGAGCATGTGCTGCAGACCGAGGTGGCGGCGGGCATGCGGAAGGAGGCCCGGCGCCTTGCCAAGGCGGCGGTGCGGGGCATGCCCGGGACCAGGCTCAAGCAGGCCTTTGACCTCGGCGTGCTGGCGGCGCTGGTCAGGTTCGGGCCGGCGACGAAGTCGCCGTGTTTGACGGGGTCGGCGCGGCCCCCTGGCTGGTCTGGGACCTCGTGGGCCGACCGGCGGCCATGTTTGCCACGACGACGACCCCGCCAAGGTGGCCGACGTGATTGAGAAGGTCGACCCCTGGGGCCGCTGCCTCGTCCTCTTCTCGGCGGCACCGCCGTGCCAAGACTTCTCCCGAGTCACCGACGGGCCAGGCCACAACGGCGCCCGCGGCGGGTTGTTCCTTCAGACGGTGGAGTTCATGTCCGAGGTCCGGCGGCTGGTAGCACCGCGGCGTTTCGGCTTCATCTTCGAGAACGTCGAGATGGCGACGGCCGACGCCAAGCAGATCACGGAGGCGCTGGGTTCGGCGCCGGTGTGGGTGACTTCGGCTGGGTCGGGCGGCCACGCGTCTGGTGGCTCTCGACGGACTGGGCGCGGATGACACTGGACCCGGAGACCGGCGAGCCCCTGCAATGGACGCGACGAGGCCAGTGGGGAAGCACGGCGGCCGGTGGAGGCACTGGATTTGGGGGACCTCACCTTCAACGACTCCGTCTTGTCGGGCCGGCGGCGCCTACCCTGCTTCACCACCCTGACTGGCAGTGGATGAGAACGGCCGCGCGGCGCCGAAGGGCTGCAGGGGCAAGATCCCGTCCGACGCACAGCACCGGTGGTCGGCGGATCGACGCCAGTTCGCCCCATGGCACTACGTGAAGGAGGCGATGGTGGTGAGCTCCGACGGGAAGCTGCAGATCCCGCCTCCACGGCTCAAGGAGCAGCTGCACCACATGCCCGCGGACTACACCTGGGGGGCAGACGACGCACCGCTCGATGACCGCACCCGCCACCGACTCATTGGAAACGGGTGGCATTGGGGAGTGGCGCGGCGCCTCCTACTGATACTGCTGGTGGCCACGGCGTTCCAGACCTCGGACGCCAGACCACAGGGCGAACCACCCCCATCGACGATCACCTGGGTCACCTCTTTGTGGCAGTTCGGCGGCCCGGTCATGGGACCGGCGCCGGGGGAGGATACACTGGACCCTCTGGTGGACCTCGACGAGGAAGCTCACTGGGCAGCCTCGGCGGTCATACCGCACCCATTCCAGGCTCAACCACGGCTGGAGCCGGCGTGGGAGGAGGCCTTGAATATCCGACGGCGGTGTCGCCACGACTTGGCCAGGATCAGGCGCGAGGTGGTCCAGGAGGTCAAGGAGATGATCGACGACATGGCCGAGCAGACAGCGGAATGGATGTCCCAACGCTCGGCGGCGGTCAAGGCCACCTATTCGACGCCGGACAAGCCGACGGTGACACAGATTCCCGTCCTGCTGGAACTCCTGCGGCGCCTTGACTACCCCGACCTCGCGAACCTCACCGACGACCTCACCCAGGGCTTCAACATGGTCGGCGGCCTCAAGCCGGGCCCGGGCTGGAAAAAGAGGACCGACGACCGCTACAAGCACCCGGCATCCATGGAGGAGCTCCAGCGGGTCAACGCGGACTATGTGAGACAGCGCACCGCGACGGCCAGGGTCGGGGGGCACACTGAGACGCTTCTGCAGGAGCTCATCGACGAGGTCAAGTTGGGGCGAGTGGTCGGACCCACCAGGGCACCGGCGTGGCTGAAGGTGCGAGCGGTGGCCCTGCCGTGGCGCGACGGGGTGGCACATCTGGTGGAGCCCCCGCCCGGCGAGGTGTTCCTGGCGGCGTCCTTTGCCATTGTCCAGATCGACGAGCATGGAAACAAGATCCGACGGGGCGAGGATTGGCGACGCACCGGCCACAACTCCACCGTGGCGGCGGACGACGTCCCCACGCACCATTTCCTCGGGAGCTTTGTGGATTTGGCTCGGCGCATGGCGGGTGACGGCGTGGTCCTGATCTTCGGCCACGACCTCCTCAACGCGTACAGGCAATGGCCTGTACGCTGCCCGGCGCATTGCGGCACGTTCCTCCCCACCGCGGCGGGGATGAGCTTTTGGTATCACCTCGCGATGAATTTCGGCGCTACGGCGTCCGTTTGGAATTTTAATCGCGGCGGGGATGCGCTCCAACAGCTGCTGCGTGGATTGCTGCTCCTACCGACGGGCCACTACGTCGACGACTTTAACGGCCTCGAGTTTGAGGAGCTTGGCCAGTCGGCGATGGAGGCGTTCGAGCAGCTCTTTGCGGCGCTGGGCTTCCGCATCAAGGTTTCAAAGTCCCAGCCGCGGCGGCCCAGCACATTTCTCGCGGCGGGGGGTCACCCTCAGCCCCACACCGGAAAGGGTGCGACGCATCATGGCCCAAATTACCCAGGCGCTCCAGAACGACGCCATGAAGCCCGACGAGGCGCACAAACTGGCGGGACGCCTCTCGTTCCTCACCCAGGCGGTCTTCGGCGGGGTCGGGAAGGCCCCCATTAAGGCAGTGTATGCGAGGGCGGCGGACACGGCGGCCCACTCCAATGATGGCCTGTCCGGCGGGCTCAGGGCGGCGCTGCGCTCCCTCGAGAAGATCCTGCCGACGATCCGCCCCCGCTTCATCCCGTTCAACCCCGACGACATGGACACGGCGGTGCTGTACGCGGACGCCTTCTTCCTGGACGGCGAGCAGCGACAAAAGGCCGACCACGTCCCGACGACAGCGTCGGCGGCCGCACCCAACCGGGCCAATAACGGTTGGGGTTTTGTGCTGCGCCTCGGCGGGGTGGTGTTCTACGACCACGGCGTCGTCCCACCTTGGTTTCTGCGGAAATTCGAATCTCGACGAGCATTTATCTATATGCTCGAGGTGTTTGCACAGGTGGCGGCGCTGGCGGCCTTTGCCACGCACCTGCCCGGCGCCGTGACCGCGTTCATCGACAACACGGCGGGCCAGGCGGCGCTATCCAAGGGGTATGGAAAGGACCCGCTGCCTTCTGGGCCTTGGCGGCGCGGCAGGGGACCATGGTTGACTTCCGACGGGTTCCATCCAAGGCGAATGTGGCCGACGCTGTGTCCCGGGACGATTTCGGCAGGGCCCGACGGGAAGGTTGGACGAGGGTCCACATCCCGGCGTCGCCCATCATGCACATCTTGGCGAAGGCAGTCGACGACTTGCTCTATGCGGTGGATGGTGCGGCGGCTGACCTCCTGGTGTGCTCTACTGAGTGGTCTGATGAGCCGGCGCTTGGTGGGGCTGTGT